TTCAAATGATACAAGACTGAGTGATAGAAAGAATCTAGCCCAGTCTGGATGCCAGATGTCTGAATTCTTTCTGTCTATATGATTCCTTCATGAACAGGGCATAGGCACCTCAGTGCAACGTCTGGTTTTGATTCTAACTAGTGATGCGAGTTCGGACAACTCATTAAATTTTTCTGGATCCATTTCTCCACTTATCAAATGAAAGGTTTAACTAGGAAATTCCCAATTTGCTTTTAGCTTAAGTCCAACAATCACCAGTGACCTGCTTAAGTTTCATTTCCTTCATGTTCAAAGCAGAGTCTTATGACTATCAAAGGAAAGTGGTGAAGGTGTATGCAGAAATGCTCAGGAAACCTAAACACAAACATGTTACCTTTACCACTACAACTCTTTTTGCAGCGTTCTTTTCAAGTCATGTTTGAAGTCTTTTGTCATTTGTACTAAAAGAGACATCGCTCCTATAGGATCCTACAACTGTGGCTTCCACAAAAGGAAGCAAGATGTAGGTACAGGTAAATGAAGCTGATGCAAATTAACAATAGTGTCTGCAAGTTCTTTGGAAGGTAGTGGATTAGATGTACCTTCACTTCCCAGTCTCATTCAACAGCATGAGCAGAGCTCCTAAGAATCAGAATTCTCAAATCTCAAAATGGGGCCTTGTCCAATGCATGAACAGGTTTTGGAGTTCCAAGGGCAGTAACAAGTAATTTTAGGTGCTTTTGCCTTTGATCTGTGCATTTTCAGGCAATTTACCCATATTAACTCACTATTACCACTCCAAATATGACACCAACGATCACCATTTCCTTTAAGAGAGTCTCACACCGTTGCCCAGGCTGGCTTGAACTCATGTGTGTAGGCCAGGCTGGCCTTGGACTCATGGCAATCCTTTTGTCCCAGTCTTCTAAGTGCTGGGGTTATAGGTGTGTGTGACTACCATATCTGGCTTCTAGCCATCAGTCTTTGGGATAGAGGGAAGTTATATTATCGAAGCTTTGTGTCCATAGGAAGCCCCTAGGTTGGGAATGACAGTGCTTTTTCCCACACCTTATTGAATCCTCTTCAGACTTTAGTGGCAAACTCTGTCATCTCTTATGTTTCATTCCCAGGACTCCTGTGGGGCTACCTAAGTATCTAAGTACCTTGCACAGCATCTAAGAGTGTCAGAACTTGAATGGCTCCCTAAAGACCCCTTGAAGTAGGCAGCTCTTTCTTTTATAGTCCAGAATATTGTAGCATTCACTTGCTCTAGACAAGAGAAGTGAAATGCCCAAAGTAACACTGGAATAAAGCCAATGACGTAAAAGGCAAAATTTAGAAACTCTCTTACCCTTGTTTCTACCAATTTTAACAAGCCAAACACACTATATGTATCTTCAAAAATAATATTTTATTATTTATGTTTATGATTTTTTTTTGTCTTTTCTTTGTGACAGGGTCTCCCTGTAGCCCCAGCTGTCCTGGAGCTCACTTATGTAGACCAGGCTGGCCTTGAACTCACAGAGATCTGCTTGCCTCTGCCTCCCAAGTGCTGGGATTAAAGGGCACATCACTGGGAGTGGGCTTAAGAGTTCTTAAGTCTGGCCAGATCTTGAGATGCTCTCTTGCCTCCTGTGCCTGCTTAACGATGTGAGCGCTCTGCTTTCTACTCACGTTCCAGCTACCTCCTGCCACTATGCCACCCCGCCATGTTGGACTATAATTTCCCTGGAACTGTAAGATCAAATACATTCTTCCTTCTATAAGTTGCTTTGGGTCAGTGTTTCTATCACAACAACAGAAAAGTAGCTAACATACTCTGTCCCTGCCTTATTTTTTTAAATACTTATTTTTATTTTAATGTTTGTGTGAGTATGTTGCCTGCATGTATGTAAGTGCATCCGTGTAGTTCAGTGCCCACAGAGGTCAGAAGAGGGCGTTGGATCCCCTGGAACTGGAGTTGTTAGCCACCATGTGGGGGCTGGGATTCAAATCTGGGTCCTCTGCAAGAGCAGCCTGTGCTCTTAACCTCTGAGCCATCTCCAGCCCCACCTATTCTATGTATCTTAACAGTGCTTAAACCTGAAACTTATTGGGAAAATGAGAAATATAATGTCTATACAACCACACAGCAACGTTCTGCTGCTACCATTTCTGAATAGGTGCCTTGTCCTAGATAATTGTTATGGTCTTCTACTTTCTTAGCTCCTGGGATGAGTCATTTTAAAGGAAATGGAAGCTGTAGTTCTATTATTACAGATGAGAATAAGAGGAAGGGCTCTCTTATCCAACGGTCAAATTAATGTTAAGCCTATAGGCACAGGCTTTAAGTAGCAAAATATCTGAGAATTTTTAATGTGAGACGAAAATATACATTGTGGTCCAGAAGCCTGGGAAGTTATAGGCTTCTGGTATTAGCTACCCTAAAGTAGAATAATGCTTTTTGCCAAGAACACAGCTGAACTAATTAGGTGTTTTTCATGGAATAGGCAAACAATAAATATTTGTGGGTTGATTTGTTTGGCAAGAATTCTTGGTACTTGGGTACTTTCCTATATCCAGTTTATTCTTTAATTTTTTATTCTTTAAAAATGCCTGGTCTACATAGTGAGTTCCAGGACAGCTGGGGCTATAGGGACACCCTGTCTCAAAAAGACCAAAAAAAAAAAAAATTTAGCTACAAAGATGATCATTGGGGTTCAGTATGGCTAGAACGCTGGTGAAAGTGGCTGTTGTGTTCCCAAGCTGAACTCTTGCAACATATTCTGGGATATCTTGATGAAAAAAGTTGTGTTCAAACAAATAGGGAGATGTTAAGTCTTTTACTCAGACTGGCCACCCAATGTATTAAGAGTTAGGGGTAAAGGAAGTCTTGCCTTTGTTGAAACAAGTTCTTTCCAAAGAGATCTGACCATGGTATAGTTTCTCCCCCACTTTTTTTGCATTACAATCTGCAAAATTCATGCTCTTCTGAAAATAACTTTCTGAATTTTATTGGTGCCAAAATAGAAATCCTATGGAGGGCTGGGGTTGTTAAAGGGAGAGGAGTAGGGCGGTTGGGACTAGAAGCCCTTTTCCTGTCTTTCCCAAATTGGCCAACTACATCCTAAGGTTGGTCTTAGGATTCCAGATATTATGGGTAAGGGTTGAGATGGTGAGCAAAAAGGATGTGAATATTTTACTACCCATTCAGTCCCTTTAGGGTGTAATTTGTTAAACAGACATTGTTTTAGAGATCTTACATGCTCTTTTAGAGATGGTAATAATATTCTATTCTTATTTCATAGATTTTGAGATATTTGCCCAACAATGCCTAGATATGCCATCAGTGCTTAATAATTGTACTGAGTCAGTACAAGTCTAAGGCTGGTGGTACAGTGGGAGAAGGAAAGGATCAAGAGCTAAACAAAATCAAGTGAGAGAAGGATGGAGAGAGGAATGGGTAAAAACTGAGCCAACAGTCATAGATCAGGGGAGAGAGGAGGAGAGAGGAGACAGCTGTGGATGATGGAAAAAGTAACAAAACTGAGTGGCCTAGAAGCTCTGATTTTGAAAAGTGAACCTAACACATGAGGCTAATTCAGATGCTGAGCATGCCAGGAGGTCCCTGACCACCAACTGCTTTGTGAACTCATACTACAGTATACTTATTGCATGAGTACAATAAATGCACAAGGCATCTTCTTAAGCACACAATATAGAGGATGAATGAGACACAGATCTTGTTTTCAACATCACATTCTCAGGGGAAAAAAGCCAAGACAGGCTCAGATAAAATAATGCCAGGTAGATGTGCTCCATTCCTTCAGAGGTGCAACAGGCCAAACTCTGAGGAACCAGGTGACAGAAAACAGATCATATTGTCATGAGGCATGATAAAGACTGAAGAAGGCCAAGAGACATGGCATTTCAAGATATGAAAAAGACCTGGCAAGAGAGAAAGACGCACGTGGTACAGAGTTGTCCAAGTGGGTTCCAGCAAAGGAGGGATGCATGGACCTGGAAAGGTGTGGAGACTGGCCTCAAAGCCTTTAAGTCGCACCTTTAAGTGGGGTCGAGAATGTAGCTGAGGTGTGGGCACTGATGGGAGGCAGTGGGAAGCTTGTTGAAGGATTTTTGAGTATGTGCACACAGAGAAGTAATAGAATTAGTTAATAACACTGGGCAGGAGGAGGCTGGGGAGAAAGGGCTAAGTCTGGGGAGGGTGGTTGCTGATGGATGAGGAAGCAGTTCAATTTCGTAAAGACCAAGGAAACATTCCGGTATTGCTTTTAGACTGTATGTAAATCCGGCAGGAGAAATTGGGTGAGTCCTTTTCTGAGAAGATAGGGTCATCATAATGTACTGCTAGTTTAGCTCAGAAGATAGCGACCTAGAAAGAACAGGAATAGATGAGCCATAGAGAGCGCTACCAAAAGGAAAAGTCACAGAAAGAAGCCACAGGAGGCCGAGTCAAAACAGAAACTATAGCCCTGCAGGAGCACTCCAGCTTCCGCATAATGCACAATGTGTGAATCCCAGTGGCCTGCCTGATTAGCAAAAGGGCTTTAGTTTTTAAATCTGTGAAATGGGAACAAAGGGCTTAGGCTAAAACTCCTTAGCACATGGACACATGATAGACGTGGACACCTGATAGGCGCCAAGGCGTCAGCAAGGGCCAGCGGGAGAAGGAACTGAAGAGGCTTGTTGCTTTTCCTACAGGTCCAGAAATGGAGGGGCCTTCGAGGACATCTAAAGTCTTTGCGATAGCTCGGTCTGCTCAACGCCCCGTGAAGGGCAAGGCTGGGACAGGCCACTGTAGCCTTAACTCAGTTCTCACCCCCGCGAAGCCCTTTCCGCCGCGTTTACACCCCCGACACCTCCCAGCTGGCCCCACCCCGGCTTCCCGCCCCTCCGACTCCCGCCGCCGCGCTCACCCTGCAGCGCATGCGGCCTCTGCGCCCCTGCGCCCCGCCCCAATTTTCCACGTTTCACTTCCCTCTCTCGCGGCCTCGGCTGCAGCTTCGCTGCCACGATTGGCCAGCCGACCTCCTTGTCTCGGCCAATGAACGCCACCCTGTCGCCCCCGTGTTACTGGGTAGAACAAAACAAAAACAAACAGAGCGAGAGAGGCCACAGACGCTCCGAGGCGGCCGCAAAAGCTGAGGAGCGGGGTCTGGAACGAAGCGGAGATCCTGGGGAGCGGCGGCGGAGGCCCGAGGGGGTCAGTACGGGTGGTGGGTGCGGTTCGCAGCTCCGGACGACGGCGTCCCGTTCCCCGGGGCCCCGCGGTCCTCGAGGGCCGCCGCACGTTGGGAAAGGGAGGGGGCGTGGAGGCTGCGGCGGCTGCGGCGGGGCGGCGGGGCTGCGGGCAGCGGGCTCTTCGAAGCCCGCAGGCCCGGCCCGGCCCGCCCAACTCCCGTGGCTGCGTGGAACCGACGCGGTTTCCCCGCCACGGCCCGGCCCGGGAGCTGCAGCGCGGGGCCCGGGGCCCGCCCCCTCCTCCGCGCCGCCCTCCCTGGCCTTGGGGTCCGCTCGGGGGACAGTCGGGGAGGTGTGTCGGCGAGACAGATCCGGTGAGGACGCCTGCGCCTGTCCGGCCCTGCTCCCAACAGGCCCCCTGCGCCGCGACCCCCCCCAGCTGGCTCAGAGCTCGGCCTGGTCTCCTCGGCCTGGTGGCTTCGGCTGGTCACCCCAGCCTGGTGGCCTCAGCTGATCACCCTTGTCTGGTCGCCTCAGCCTGGTCGCCCCGGCCCTGATCCTTGGGCCTGCCCACCGGGCCAGCTTCGCCCTGCTGCTTCTCTGGAACGGGGTCTCCCTCCACCTTTTAAAAGTAGAATTTAACCCAGAGAAAACAAAGACAGGAAGGGAGCCCCCTTCCTGTGAAACGTCTATTGGGTACTGTAAAGCACACCGCGAGTGTGTGTGTGTGTGTGTGTGTGTGTGTTTGCGCGCGCGCGTGCACGCATATGTGTGCTATAGTGTTTAGTTTTGTGAGCACGCTTGCCTGATCAGTAGCCTTAGTGTAATGCGCACAGTGGTGTGCACGTGTGTGCATGAGCGCGTTTGCCTGCTCAACAGCCTCAATGTAATGCGCACAGTGGCTTGTGTATGTGTGTGTGCGTGTGCGCGCTTGCCTGCTCAGCCTCTGTAATGCTAATGCGCACAGTCTGGTGTGTGTGTGTGTGTGTGTGTGTGTGTGTGTGTATACACGCGCGCGCGAGCGTGCACTGCCTGCCTACAAGAGCCTCAAAACTGCAGACATAGGTCTCGCTTGTCTCCTGCATACCCTCCTGGGAACTGGCCCTGTAGCCAGTTTCCATCCACTCTGATTCAAAATGGAGCTGTGTGCTCAAGGGTGGGTGTGAGGGTCGGCCTACAGGTTGTTTTTAAACATAACAATTTCACACTTTCGCAGTTCTCATTGAGGTAACACTTAGGGAGAACCACCATTCCTTTTTAAAAAGGGACGTTAGCAGATATATTCTAAGTGGTATTTATACCCATATGGTTCCTGCATTATAGTTTGATTTTTAATATCTCAGTAGGCATCTTTGACTTATAATTTGCTTAGTTTTTCTATTGTAATTTTAAGGGAAAACTGTTAGGACTGCAAAAATAGATGATACTTGGTTATTTGCTATAGTGTTTAGTTTTGTGTTATTGTGATGAGAGTGCTTTTAGTTGATTGCAAGTAGCTAATGTGTGTGATTGCATCCCAGGAAAGAATTCAAGAAATTTTCTAGGTTAACATGGACTATGTTATGTATCTACTTGATTTACAAAAATGTTAGAGTAATTTATGAGATATTTAGTAAATACACTAGAGAACAGTTAATTTCAGCCTTAATTTTTCTAATTGTATGTGTAGTTTTCTCATTGAAAATGATTTTTTTATAGATTAGTGTGAAGAAAATGGAGTTTAGATTCTTTTTTTTTTTTTTTGCTTTGCCTTAAGTTTGAGGTAAGAATCTCAAGGATTGTTAAATTGGGGCGGAAAACTGCTCCAAAGAGTGAAAACATGGAATATTTCATTATCCCTTAAATCATTCACGTTGCTATCAAGAGTGACTGAGTTCCTGACTGCTTGCTCAGGCTGTCACTATCTAAAGATAGGACTTTTTGTTATAATTATTTAATAAAACATTCAGTAAATTATTTACAGTAGTCATGATCATTTTCTTTGATTGTTTTCTGTGTATTTCATTATTTTTTAGTGTTTGGAAAGCAGTATTTAAGAATTTGATATGAAAGCCTTATGTTTTATTAAACTTCTTTTTCCTTGACCCTACAAAGAATTTTCCTGTAGGATATTATAAACTCTTGTACTGGATTTGCAAGGTCTGAATTCTAGTTGTGGTTCTTCCACTGTGCTGTTGTTTCTCCTTGGACAGATATCTTCCCTCTCTGATTCTCTTTAATTGTATGCTAAGTGGAATACCTACCTGAGACTATCCTGTGAGGTACATGAAATAATGCATATAGATGCATATTTTGAATTATAAAGGGCTTTATAAGCATTATGATAATTTCTTTTCCTTTATTAGATAGCTGCTTCAGAAAATATCTCAAAGATTATATTTGCATGAAGAATAAAAAAAACTCATGTAACTTCAGTTGAAAATCACGACACATAGCTTTCCTATAACATATGTAATTTATGCACTGAAATGAAGCATGGCATTTTCAGCCATGGAAAATGCTAAATGAGTTTCCACACTATTTTTGGTCTTACTCTGTATGAATCTCCATATACAAATTTTAAAATTCATTTTTTTCCTAAAGTTTTGAGTTGTTTGGAATTATGATATTGGAAGTGATTGTTTCAAATGGTATGCCAGTTTATTGTGATTATAATTAGAGAATGACTGGTATCATTTTCCATTTCTCAAGCAATATGATAGCACCTTGGTATAGCTTGAAGAGTATATCATAACTTTAACATAAGGTGTTATTTTTGTTTCACAACAGCCTATAAATTTAAAAAGGTTAATGAGCAATAGTATATTTGTTGAAGAATTTAAAAGTTAGTTTTCAAAACAAAACAAAACAAAATCAGTCTTCCCTTTGAGTTCTAGGAAGCATCATATATCATTTTATTCCAAAGTGACATTGAACAGTCCAATTCTGAATGAGACTAGCATACTAATTAGTGCATTGATTCCAAATTCCACCTTTATATATGTTATGTGAAAATGCTTTTCTAGAATTAGAATTTTTACCAGTTTGCATTTTATATTGGCAATTCCACAGTTAGTGAAATTATTGTAAATGACTTAGATGAACCTCTGTTACTTAAACTGATTAAAAACACTTAAATATTTCTGAAGAGATTCTGAAATCTGTTACACCTTTTAGTAATATATTTAAAAATATCCATGAATACTATTTTTATAATCTTGTAAATAACATTGGATTTTTCTGAGTCTGCTAATTGTTTAAGAAGTATCAGTTTCATCAGAACCTTCCAGCAACAACAATTTTTAAGCCATTTTGAAACTGAGGTCTACAGTACTAAAATGTGTATGTTGTGGTAGTGGGGATCAAATATAGGGCTACTACTAAGCTATAGTACCTGCCTTTGTTTGTTTGCTTGTTTTCCTTGAGACATGGTCTCTGGGGTCAGGCCTATCCTGAACTCACTATGTAGCCCAGGTTGACTTTAAACTCCAGATTATTCTTACCTCTGCCTCCTGAATGCTCTGATTATAGATGTGTTTTACCATGCTTGACTTATATTTGTTTCCAAAATAAGTTAGTTTTTTTTTAAGAGTGAAAACCTCAGATTATAAAAATATATGGAAAATAAATTACAAGAATTTTATAATAAAAAAAGCTGCTTGGGGCTGGAGACATGGCTCAGTGGTTAAAAGCACTGACTGCTCTTGCAGAAGACCAGGTTCGATTCCTAGCACCCACATGGCGGCTATGAACTGTCCTTAACTCCAGTTCCAGGGGAATCTGATGCCCTCTTCTCACCTCCGTGGCATCGCATGACATGGTGCACTCACATACATGGAGGCAATACAAATGTATGTGTATGAATATACACATAAAATAAAATTCAATCTCAGTAGTTTCATAAGTATTTAGAGACATAGGTAATGAAGTGTCAGGTATTCTGCTTTCAGATTGGCTGTGGCTTGAAAGATAACACAGTTATGTCAGTCTTGATTCACTAAAACTGTTGTTTATATTTTAGACTAATTTTAAGTAATTGGTAGAGAACTGTCCAATATATGTGTCCCATATGTACCTGTAAGGTTATTAAAAATTTTGGTGTGGGCTGGAGAAGTACCTTGTTAAGAGTGGGTACTGATCTTCTGGAGGATGACCTGAGTTTGGTTCTCAACACTCACATCAGGCAGCTCACAACTGGCTGTAGGGCCAGCTCCAGGGGATCCAATGCACTCTTCTGGCCTCCACAGGCCACCCCCTGCACATTCATTATACACGTGCACGCACACACACACACACACACACACACACACACACACCCCAAATCTTTTGGTGTGTATCTATACATATGTATTTAATTTTAAATATATATTAAAAATAGATCTTTTAACCTCAAGTTTAAAAGTATGCATTGGCACATGATAAAATCTGGTGGGTTTTGTCTTAGTGTTTTTTCCCTCTTTGTCTCAGAGAAGCTTGTGGAGAAAATTGTAACTGTTAATTAGGTTATCTTCAAAAGTAAAACAAACTCTTAAAAATGGAATTATATGTTTTTCTTCCTATTGTGCTTAAGTGAGTTTACTTTAAATGTATCAGTTTAGAAGATGTTGAAACTTCTTTTCTTTTTAAAACCTAGATTCTAAAGGAAGACTTCCATTTGATAATTTGTTTAATCAGTGCAAGTGAAATTAAGGAAAAAAATGGATGTAGAAAATGAGCAGATACTGAATGTAAACCCCACTGGTAAGTAATCTCTTAAACTTTACAAGCAAACGTAAGGCCATTTCATATTTTATATGAAAACATGATAGTAAAGCTTTTAAAACGCCGTCTTATTGGCATATACCTTTAATCCTAGCACTTGGGAGGCAGAGGCAGGCAGATCTCTGTGAGTTCAAGGCTAGCCTGGTCTACATCGTGAGTTCTGTGCCAGCTGGGGCTACAGGGAGACCCTGTCTCAAAAAACAAAAAACAAAAAAAACCCCAAACCACCCCCCAAACCAAAAAAACCCAAAACAAAACAACAAACCCCACAAAAAACAAAAAACAAAACCATAAAAACAAGCCATCTTATTCGTACCATAGTATTTGTAAGATCAAATTCATGATTTTTTTTATTTTCATGTAAATTTATCACATATCTTTTTTGGCCAGCCCTGTTCCACATATTTTTATTTGCTACTGTTTGTAATAAAATATATGTAACAGAATGTGGAGGAATAGTTGAAACCAGTTATAAAGTTACCACATTCTGTACTTACTAAAAAAAAAAAAAAAGAATAGCAAAATGTTGAAAAGCGATTGATGTGAACATGGATTAAACTGATAAGGTCAAATTACAAAATAAATATAGAAGGAATGTTTACAACTGTAGACACAACACAGATTTGAAAGGTTGTTAAAAATAGAGAAAAGAAAGTGAAGTCTAGAAAACTGATAATGTTTAAATATAATACTTTAATACTTCAGAGGTCAGGTTAATACTGGGGACTAAATTTGTGGCTCACCTTAATGCTGGAATAATGAATGCAATATGTTTCATGTAAATATGTAATTTTTTTTCTCATTTATCCACTCTTGAATGAAAATTCCTGTCTAATGTGTCTGCCTCTGGCCTTCTGTGTCCTTCCTATTAATGTTCTCCTTGTCTTTACCTTTACTCTTGTGTTCATCTTCTCTGTCTTCTTAGCTGCCAACTGCTATATTCTAGCTTTGCATTTTCTGTAGTTGTAGTCATGAAGTACAAAATGTCATCTTGAATTCTGGCCACGATATGTAACTTTTCTATGAGGCATCCTTCTGTAAAATGAAAATAACTTTTTTTGGGGTCTTTTTGAGGCTGGGTCTCCCTGTAGTGGGGCTGGCCTGGAACTTATTATCTAGACCAGGCTGTCCTTGAACTCGTAGAGATCCACCTGCCTCTGCCTCCCGAGTCCTGGGATTAAAGGCAAGTGTGAAAATAACTTCTTTATAGACTTTTGTGATCCTTATAGGTCATGAATCTAAAGTGTCATGCATAGAACCTGTGTCTGCAATATACCAGATATTGGAGAACCTGGTATCTACTTGGTAACAGTAGTAACTGTAGTGATAGAGTAATAATTGTGCTAAGACTACAATTACTACTACTAGTTTAGTTGTGATGATGTGTCAAACACCTCCATAATGCTAGCTTCTTATCAGTCCAAAAACTTGCAAGGCATCATTTATTATTCTTTAATCCTGAATCTTCTGCTTAGGAGTTCTTAATTTTTATAAATGCCCACTTTATTACTACCTTTGCCCTTTTCACATTATCTTATGACTGAAATACTGCAACATTGTTATTAGCTGGTCATCCTTTGGAGAAGATAAAGTAGTTTGGGTGAAGTTTGGGGAGATAAATTGGACTTGGAGATGATGGTGTTTTTTAAATTTTATTTTTTTAAATTTTATATGTATGAGTGTATTGCCTGCACGTGTGTAAATGCACCTGTGTTATGCAATGCCTGAGGAGTTCAGAAGAGGGCGTTGGATCCCCTGGAACTAGAGTTATGGACACTTAACTGCCATGTGGGTACTGGGAATTGGACCTGGGTCCTCTGCAAGAGCAGCCAGTGCTCTTAACTGCTGAGCCATCTCTCTAGCTTGGAGATGATGGTTTTAAAAGCATGCCTTATTTTTAAGGTGTTCAGTTCAAGAATTATATATTTTGAGATAATGGGAAACTTTTCAGTTTTCAGCAAGGGCATATTTTAGAAAATCAGTATCTGCAGTTTGAAGAATGTTTTGAAGACTGAAGGCAGACTATGAGACTAATGAAATAATTTAACACTACTAAATGCTTTTGATTTTGATCACAGCATCTCTTAACATTTGTGCTTTTTTTGTCAAGAATTGTGAAAGATTGAATAGATCTCTACTTTCTAGAAGTTGATGAAAATTTTGAATTTCTTAAACTATCACAAAACATGGTAAAGTCATATACATAGACATGACACATCCTAGTCATAGTTGAGCATATTTAAAACCATTTAGGCGATTCAGCTGTGACTTAACCACAGTGATCAAAACTCTGGTGCAGTAGTAATTAATTCAGTAGCCTTTCTGACTTAAAAAGTTTTCAGAGCAAAGCTGAGTGTTTTCATGTGCTCTCCATAGACATTTCAGTATAAAGACATTATAGTATAAAGAATGTTTTGCTAGGTGCTGACAGTAAAAAAAGTACAGTCTACTCAGTCCCTTCTTTGAATCTGTGACGTAGTTGAAAAAGCAAGACCATTTACTAAAGAAGTAAAAAATTTCATGCCATGCTGGGTTAAATGAACAGTATTTGAGCATTTGAGCTATACAGTTGAGAAAATTTTCATGGAGTGAAATAAGGTGTGAGGTATATCTTAAAGTATTTTATTATTTTCATTTTATTTTATATTATATTATATGAGTGTATTTCATGCATGCATGTAAGTGCACCCGTGTTGTACAATGCCTGTAGAGGTCAGAAGAGGGCATCAGATCCTCTGGAATTGGAGTTATGGATGATTGTTAGCCACCATGTGGGGGCTGGGAATTGAACCTGGGTCCTCTGCAACAGCAGCCAGTGCTCTTAACTGCTGAGCCATCTCTCCAGGCCCAAGAATTTTTATAACTGAGAGATTAGTTATTAAATGACATTCTAAGCAAAGGATAACTCTAAATATCTTACTATAGTTTAGGGGATAATGTGTCACTCTTGTGTAGGTCAGAGACTTTTGAGAGGATAGGAAGTAGTTTGCATGAAGTTTGGGAGATAAATTGGACTTGGAGATGATGGTTTTAAAATATACCTTACTTTGAAGGCAGTCAGTGCAACAATTATGTATGATTTCATATTCGCCAAATGCTTTGTAGGCTTTTTTTTTTTTTGAGTTACTAATTTGTAACTCAGCAGGGACTGTTTGGGAAGTAATTTAAATACATTTTGAACCTTGGTTTCCTTATCTGTATAAATGGTATAATTAATTGCAGAACTTGTAGTATCCAGTATAAAGCCTAGTAAGTAATAGTAGGCGCTCTGTAAATTGTTTTATCTCCCATCTGTCAAGATTGTTTTACCATCTCCAGCTGCTTAATTCTTTTTGCTTACAAGTCTAACAGTTTTATGGTCTTCATACTACTACAGATTTTATTATTCAAACATGTGAGGTTTTCCAGAAAACCCTGTTAATTAAAATTCAATACCTTGACAGTGGGAAAAGTAATCCTATTTGTCATTTATTAGATTAAGCCATGGGAAATTGCCAATAGATGACTATTACTAACCTACAAAAATGTTAATTTCATGTGATTTGCAATAATCAAACTTAAGATTATACCTGGTATAACAGTGGATACTTGAAATACTTAGTATTGTTTCTTCATTTTTCCTTTTAAGATCCTGATAATTTAAGTGACTCTCTCTTTTCTGGTGATGAAGAAAATGCGGGTACTGAGGAAATAAAGAATGAAATAAATGGAAATTGGATTTCTGCATCATCTATTAATGAAGCTAGAATTAATGCAAAGGCAAAAAGACGACTACGGAAAAACTCTTCCCGGGACTCTGGTAGAGGCGATTCAGTCAGTGATAATGGAGGTGAAGCTGTCAGGAGTGGAGTAGTCGTGCCCACCAGTCCGAAAGGAAGGCTGCTTGATAGGCGCTCGAGATCTGGGAAAGGGCGGGGACTGCCAAAGAAAGGTTAGTCTGCACCATGTGCAAAGAGACAAAGGCAGAAAAAATAGTAATTTTTAGAGGAGTAGTAGTAGGTTTAACTCTAAAACGGACAGAAATCTAAACATTCATAAGGTTGTATGGTTTGTATATATGTTTATATAGTGAAACTGAGAACTGTCCCACTTTTTATGTTGATTGTTTTTTCCTTTGAGAAGACCCCCCCCCCGACAAAATATAGTATATACTGTTTTCACAGTTACAAATTGTGTACACACTTTGGAAGTAGTCAGAAATTTATCATAACTTATCTAATGAATCTAGTTATATCTATCAAAGAACAGTAAGTATAAATTTGGTAGCATTTTAGTATTTTTGTAGATCTGCATCTGAATTTTCTGCAGCTGTGCTTGAGTGCTAGAGTAGATGGTTTCACTGCTAGATCTCCATCCTAGAATGCTGATTAGCAGATGGTGGACACTTAAAATTGTTGGATAAAGTTGTCAGCTTCTGTCTGTAGTATGATTTTGTTAGTTGTTAGGATTTGGAGACTAGACTAGCTTTTGATCTGTGGGAACTTCAATTTACCGACTTAAGATTCTGATAATATGAATGGTTCTGGTGTTGAAAATGCTTGGAATGGGAGGGAAAAAAGTAAAATATGGAGTGGAATTTCAGTATCTTCCATTTACGAACCTAGAACTAATGCCAGCAAAAGATGATTATGGAAAAATGTTCTGTTGAGGGGGAAGAAAGAAAAAAAGTTACAAATATAAGAATATTCAGATAAACTATAGTGGTCTTTCAGAAATTTTATGAATAATTCTACAGTCATTTGGATCAGAATAAAATCTAGTTATCTGATTCTAACCTGCTGTGTTGGCAAGGATTATATTCCTGGTACAAAATAAAAACTTAGAAAAAAATGTTAGTGACATTGTCAGAGTTTTACAGACGGTCTTATTTTGGGGCTGGAGAGATGCCTGGTTCAGAGCACTGGCTGCTCTTGCAGAGGACCCAGGTTCAGTTCCCAGAACCCACATAAGTGGCTATAACCATCAGTTCCAAGGGAATCTGACATTCTTCTGATCTCTGTGGGCACTGCACAACGTAGGTGTTCTTAAATATATACAGGTTATGGTATACTCATATGCACAAAATAAAAATGATAAATGAAATATTGAAAATGAGAAACAGGTCTTATTTTGAGACTGGGCATGGTGGTGTATGCTTTTAATACCAGCACTTGGGAGGCAGAGACAGATGGATCTCTGAGATAAAGGCCAGCCTGGTCTACATAGTCTATTCCAGGCCAATTGGGGCTGTAGGGAGACCCTGCCTCAAAAAACCCCCACAACCATTAAAATTAAAAAACTTATTTTGAACATATTTGGCTTTACAAAAACATTTTTAGTAAGTTCATATGGAAAAGCAACTTGGAAAGTTGAAATTGTAATGTTTGGTTTGTTTTGAGAAGTAGGGAGAAACAGCTGTCGGTGCTGTGAATTCTTAAATAGCAATCTGTTATTAACACTGCTAACTGAAAATATAGTTTAATGTATACTTTATTACGAAGAATATTATTAGACTTTAAAGCATTTGATTGTGGCCACTGTGGTTCTTTTTTTTTTCAAATAGTATTCCCTTGTTGAGTTTTGTATGCCACATTTACTGTCCTAACATGCTTCTTTTCTTTCTTTTTCTGGTTCCAAGAAATGTCAAAACTTAGAGCTTAAGTAGTTATCACTTCCCATAAGGTCCTTTATATTATTTTTCAGATTAAAAAATATAAAAAATTTTTATTTACTAATTTTATGTGTATGAGTATGTTGCCTGCATGTATGTAAGTGTACCTATGTCGTGCAGTGCCTGCAGAGGTCAGAAGGGGGTGTTGGATCCCCTGGAACTGGAATTATAGATGGTTGTTAGCCACCATGTGGGTGCTGGGATTCAAACCCAGGTCTTCTGCAAGAGCAGCCAGGGTTCTTAACTGCTGAGTCCTCTCTCTAGCCCTTTAAAAAATATTTTGAAGGATTTGCCTTTTTAGTTTTTAACTATTTCTATTTGATGCTTTTGGAAATAGATTATAAAATACATATAATCTATTATTGAAAAAGTGATCTGAATAAAAAGGAATTTCAAGTATAATTCTCAATTCGAAAATAAGTAGCATAGAAGTTGGTTTTTTTTAGCTCTTAAATTTTCAGATTTGAAATTATTTCAGGTTTCAATTAAAATTTGTAAACTATCAACTTTGTGTTCTTTTCTCAATTCTAAACTTTTCAGGTGGTGCAGGAGGCAAGGGTGTCTGGGGTACACCAGGACAGGTCTATGATGTGGAGGAGGTGGATGTGAAAGATCCAAACTATGATGATGACCAGGTTATCAGTTATTTTTTATATATAATTAAAATGCTTGTAAACTTGTGATTTTTATTCCTGATTGTCAAGTGATATGTGCTTATGTTTATACTCCATAACTATCAAATCATGCATAGCATGTCTAGCAAAATCATATATACTCAGTACTTTCTGATTACTAGGTTAATTTTAGATTAGAGAAACTAGCTAATTGACAGTAATTGTATGAACAATCTTTACTTAATAATTGTATGAACAATTTTCACTTAATTTCTGGAGTCACAAGAAGGTCTTTTGACTTGCTTAGGATTAGTAATGGTGATTGACAAAGGGGACAAATGTCTCTGAGCATCGTAAGAGTTATAGGTTATTAGCTGGGGGTTGTGGTGCACCCCTTTATTCCCAGCACTTGGGAGGCAGAGGCAGACAGATCTCTGTGAGTTCAAGTCCAGCCTGGTCTACATAGTGAGTTCAGGTCAACTGGGGCTACAGGGATACCCTGTCTTAAAAAAGACAAAAATAAAAAATAGAGTTATAGGTATTAGGTTCCTTTATAGTATTATTGTTATTAATATGAGTACTATGATTATATTTTGTTTTGGGGACATGTGCATTTTTCTCTTGGTTAATGTTTAGAATATAAGTGTCTTAACTCATCATTATAGTGAAGTTTTAGATTTAATATAATGAACCTGCTGTCCATGTCTTTGCTCTTCAGCAGTGTCACTGTTTAATCAGAGACAATCTTATTTAATCCTATTTCTCTATTTAATCTTTTCTCTCTTTTGTTTTCTGGATTAATTTCAAGTAAATACTACCTCTTATGAAAAGTTTTTGTTTTAAATACTCTTTGTATACAATAGAAAATGGTGATGACAAATTAAAACAGGAAAATGTCAGTGTATACATTAGGATGTTTTTACTGTGCTTATTAGTATGAATATATTTACCTGTTTTAATAGTTGGACATGGAAATATTTCTAAGAGAATATGAAAGATGTTTAAAACAAATGGGATTCAAATATTGTGCAGTTTTCTAAATAGTGCAGTTTTCTAAATAGTACTCTTTGAAATATATGTTTTTAGACTATAGCCAGTTACAAGTTGCAAATAAATATTTCAGCTTTTTGGAGAGGAGCTGAATGGTTTTGTGATAGACATTTTAATCTTTTTGAAATTTCATTTGAAGAACAGTGCTTTTCCATAGTTTTTTTTTTTTTTTTTTTCTTTTTGAAATAGGGTCTCCCTGTATCCCCAACTGGCCTGGAACTCACTATGTAAACCAGGCTGGCCTTGAACTCACAGTGGCCTACCTGCCTCTGCCTCCCGAGTGCTGGGATTAAAGGCATGCACCACCACACCTGGCTCTTCCTTAGATTACAATATTGATCTTTTAAATACTTCTCTGATAATATTAACCATGAAAGCTTTGGTTCTTTCCTTTAAAAAATTAATGTATAAAATTAGTACATATTTAGGAAATACTTCATCTTGTTCTAAAGCAAGGTTTTAATGAAAATGACTATGGAAGGAACCCATCTTGAAGATTTTGGATTGAAGGATTGGTTTGGAGAAGGATATAAATGTTAACACAAGAGTTGAGATGGCTCAGTGTAAAGTGTTTGCTCTGCAAGCATGGGGACCAGAGATCAGATTCCTAGTACTCACTTAAAAGCCAAACATGGTGGTGTACTTCTGTAATTCCAGTGCTGAGGAATAGAGACAGGTGGATCCTATAAGCTTGCTGGCCAGTCAGTTTAGCTGAACAGGGAGCTCTGGATTCAATGAGAGATGGCTATCTCAAAAAATAAGGGGAAGGGCTAGGGAGATGGCTCAGTGGGTAAAAGCACTTTCTGTACAAGCCTGATTACCTGAGTTTGAGTCTCAAAACCCAGGTAACTCACATAAAAAGCCAGATACCAGGGTGTGCGTCTGGTATCCCAGTACTGCTATGGAGAGATGGGAGTTGGAGGCAGGAACATGGAGTATTCTCTGCAGCAGCAGGAACAAGAGGAACAAGGTGGAAGGCGAGAAATGACTTTTGAAAGTTGTGTCCTTTGGCCTCCGGATGTGTGCAGCCACAGTGACACACACATAAACATGCATCACAAATAAGTAAATAAGGTAGAGAGTGATAGAGGAAGGCAACCCAACATTTACCTCTCCCACATCCCCCAATTGCATGGGCACATGGTCCTGAATGTGCTCATATACATTCCCCTATACTTTCACCCCCAGAAGTTTGCAAAAGACACAGAGTTTGGGAGAAAATATTAAATTTACTACAGTTAGTAGGTTTAATCTGTCTTTTGGCTTACTGACTTCAGATTTTATAAAAGAGCAGTACGCATATAGACTCTTTTTAATGTGACTGATTAAATAGGTAACATATCTTTATCTTGCCTTAATGATTAACTAGTTGGAATATAAAAATTATAATTTCAGCTTATCTGAGTATAGTTTTTCCTCTTCTCATAGGAGAACTGTGTTTATGAAACTGTAGTTTTGCCTTTGGATGAAACAGCATTTGAGAAGACTTTAACACCAATTATACAAGAATACTTTGAGCATGGAGATACTAATGAAGTTGCGGTAGGTCTAAAGTTACAAGTATAATCAGTGAAGGAGAGAAAACTCATGTGTATGTGTTTTGTAACAATTTTTTTTTTTGCTTTTTGAGACAGGGTCTCCCTGTAGGCCCAGCTGGCCTGGGCCTCTCTATATAGACTATATAGACTAGGCAGGTCTTGAACTCACAGAGATCCACCTGCCTCTACCTCCCAAGTGCTGGGACTAAAGGCATGCGCCACCATGCCTGGTTACAACAGATTTCTTAACTAAGAAAGGAATATACTGAGCATGGTGGCATATACCTGAAACCACAGTACTCAGAGGTGAAGGTAGACAGGAGGCTCGTGAGTTCGAGGCCAGTATGGGATATATAGAAGGTTTCAAAAGGAAGAGGGGGAGAGGATGAAATTTTTATTTCCTTAAATAATTGTTCTTAAGTAATTGGGATCTGATGAAACCTATGTGCGATTTCTCTCTGGAGAAAATGACACAACCACTATTTTTATAAGTTTATAGTTTTTTTTTTTTTTTTTTTTTTTTTGAGGCAGGGTCTCCCTGTAGCCCCAGCTGACCTGGAACTCACTATGTAGACCAGGCTGGCCTTGAACACACAGAGATCTGCCAGCCTCTGCTTCCCAAGTGCTGGGATTAAAGGCGTGTGCCACCATGCCTGGCTAAGTTTATAGTTTTTATAATTATAAAACATAATTTTAACAATTTCAGGGCATTTATGGATTCTCTGAAATGTTTCAAGGGCCTCAGTTAAGAATGCGTGGCTGTTCTTGATGAAATTAGAATTTTATCTTTGTACTCAGTTCAAAAACAAGGAACATTGATACAGAAATTTGAAAAAGAGTGCATATAGGCACCAGGAGAATAAACCTAAGTGCTTTTGAATCATAATTTGTATGAGGATATTGAATGTTTGTTATGAATTGTTATAAAGTAAATCTAGAAGTGTAAAATAAAATAACTCATTTCATTAGGATCATGGGGCTGAAATGCCATAGTAATTATTTAGAGCACATTTATGATTTAGTCTTCAAATTCAGCCTGGATTTTTTTTTATTTGTCTGTTGCATAAGGTTTTGTGTCTTTGAATTTATAGATTTTCAATATAAAACGAGTATTTGTTTAGTATATACCATGTGGAGAAATTTTTGATAGGTGATACCTAACCTCCTGGAACTCAGTCACATGAGGGAAATGACAGGTCAACAGTTCTTAAAATACAGGGCCAAACATTCTGTTACAGAGGAAGAGTGCCAAGACAGGGATTGTTGATAGAGTCTCTACTTATACTAGTTGTGCCTTGTGTTTGAATAGTGTTAAAAGCAGTGTTGTGGAAGTACAAAATGGGGAACAATGGAAAGGTGATTCTAGCAATAAGAAGGCTACTTAGGAATTTGCCATATAACATGCTTTAAGGTTTTCCTGAAAACAGGGTTATCATGCTTGAAACCAGTGAGTTGTTAAAGTGCAGTTGAGGAAGATGAAAGGATGTGGGAAGAGGTTACTAATGAGGATACTTCTTAGGTGGTTGTGAAAATAGTACTGGCACCATCCTAGTGGTATACTCTGATTTAAAGATTCTGAGAAAACGTTCAGTAAAGAAAGTATTCTTCTAGCCGGGTGTGGTGGTGCACACCTGTAGTCCCAGCACTTGGGAGGCAGAGGCAGGTGGATCTCTGTGAGTTCAAGGCCAGCCTGGTCTACATAGTGAGCTCCAGGCCAGCTGGGGCTAAAGAGAAAACCTGTTTCAAAAAGACCAAAAAAAAAAAAAAAAAAAAAAACCAGAAGAAAGTACTCTTCTAAAAAATTTATTATTTTTATTTTGTATGTAAGAATGTATTGCCTGCATGTGTGTAAGTGCACCTGTGTTGTGCAATGCCCATGGAAGTCAGAAGAGGGTGGATTCCCTTCGAATTGGAGTTATAAACAGTTGTTAGCTGCCATGTGGGTGCTGGGACTAGCACCCCGGTCCTCTGCAAGAGCAACCAGTGCTCTTAACCACTGAGCCATCTCTCCAACTCCTTAAAGAAGGTACTCTTAAGTAGCCAAGTTAGAACTTAGCCTCTAGTGTCATACTACTGCTTGTATTCCATTTCAGGATATTTTGAGCATTAAATAAGGTACTATAAAGTAGCTGTTACACTGCCTGACAATAGCAGCTGGTCAGTAAACAGCTGCTATTATATTTTCAATAGGAAAATTTGACTTTGTCCCATCATTTAGAACAATCCCACATAAACACTTTTTAAAGATTTCACTTTAAATTTTACATCAAAGAATAAAATAAACTTTTGAGCTATAAACATACTATAATACAGGATGAATTTCTTCACAAATACTCATCAAATATTATTTGCAGAAATCATAGTAATGGATTGTAAAGCAGAGGATTTGTTAACATCAAATTTGGCAATATTAGGTAGCTAAATATTTTCAGTATCATTCATATCCTTGATGTTTAGGCAGTTACTGTTTGACAGAATGGATCAATATTACTATTGTTACTGCTGAATATGACTACTTTTCTCTAAAGAAAGGGAAATGTAGTAATATATAGATAAAACGTGTTTCCAAAAATATAATTTTAATTGAACTATATAGTGACATAAATAAATTTTTTCTCATTCTTTTAAATAGGAAATGTTAAGAGACTTAAACCTTGGTGATATGAAAAGTGGAGTACCAGTGTTGGCAGTGTCCCTAGCACTGGAAGGGAAGGCTAGTCATAGAGAAATGACATCTAAGCTTCTTTCTGACCTTTGTGGGACAGTAATGAGCACGAATGATGTGGAAAAGTCATTTGATAAGTTGTTGAAAGATCTACCTGAATTAGCATTGGATACTCCTAGAGCACCACAGGTTTGTGTCATTTTTTTTTGTTGTTGTTCATTGCCTTCCCCTTTTACACTTATGACAATAGAAATAACATATACTGCTAACAATAGAAATAACATATACTTCGTAACTGAAGGGTAAAAGGCCTACATTTCTTACTACATGGTAGTTTTTTTCTAACATTGTTCATTTTTTCAGTACTGGGGATTGAACCTAGGGCTTTGCACATGCTAGGTAAGCATTCTACCACTGAGTTATATCCTACCCAGCTTATCTGTTTTTATTTTAATTAATTAATTAATTAATTTTTGCTGTTTCACTGTGTAGCCCTGGCTGGCCTCAAACTCAAAGATATTTATTTGCATTGAAGGTGTGTGCCACACCTGGTCTCTACGTTGTTTTTATAACAGTCTTGGTGAGACTGTAAACTTGATTTTAGATCTTATTTCCCCTCTTCTAGTGCTTTGCATAGTTTTTAGGTCATATATATGTATATAAATATTAATTTTCTGCCTATACATTCTCTGTCATATGTGTACTATTTTAGTAGCTAGGAATTTTTAAAATGTATGTTGCTATAACAATAATTGATTTGTGTGAGTGGTATTTATTATAAAAATGATAAGTAATACTGTTCACTCTTATAACTGAAAACATGAAATTGCTATTTGCTAATATTTTCATAAGAATTTAGAAAGGGTGTAGGTCAATTTCTAAATGTTTCTGTGAGAGGCAATTTCTGTGACTTGAAAGTGGACTTATTGTGGTGAAGTCATCTTACTACTGAGAAGTGGACAAAAGAAAGACTTATTTCTGCTCTTTATACCAATATACACTCAAAAAGTAATTGCCTGAGTTCATATTAATTAATTACAGAATTTTTGAAGAATAAAAACCAAAATGAAGAAAGGCCAACAAAACAAATCAAACCACTGTTAACATTTAGATACTACATTTTCCTTTCTATTTTCTTAGTTATATATCAAAATGTGACTTTAATATATGATTATACCTTTGTTTAATTAGAAAATGCAATCATACCGTATATGTACTATTTTCTTTCTTTATTTTTTTTTGCCTTTTGAGATGGTCTCCCTGTAGTGGGGCTGGCCTGGAACTTACTATGTAGACCAGGCTGACCTTAAACTCTGGTTCCTGAATGCTGGGATTAAAGGTGTGTACCGCCATGCCTGGCATATATGCTATTTTCTAAATTTGACTTTTCTCACACAACAAAATATGGCAAATATACTTTCCTGTGTATACACTACTTAACCATATTTTTGTTGTTGGACAGTGAAGTTGTTTTCTGTTTTCATAATAAATACTTTGAAATAAATATTTGTGTACAACTTTCCTCCACAAGAAATTTCCTTCAATTGATGGAGAAAACTTACTCTAGGTTATTTTATTTTAGAAAAGATTTTTTTCTTGACTTTAAGTCCTTTTAACAAATACTTTTGATCATATATTAAGTATGGTAAAGTACTAGGGATTTAGTAGCAAGCAAAGCAGATGTAGTCTTCACTTTAATGGCACTTAACTTGAAGGTCAACATTAGGAGTGTATGTCAAGTGTAATAGGTGCTAAACAGTGCTTTTACGTATTCCAATTTGATATTTTAGGTATCAAGTGTATAGTTCAACCAGTTTTTATCACTTATGTGTTTGGAAACTGTCCTATAAAGGTTATTTTAGATTTCTTTTATATAGCTCTCTTTCTTTCTTATTATAGTTGGTGGGCCAGTTTATTGCTAGAGCTGTTGGAGATGGAATTTTATGTAATACCTATATTGATAGTTACAGAGGAACTGTAGATTGTGTACAGGCTAGGTAAGTAAATTAATTTTGCTACTTAGAATTTCAAAATGGGAAATTCTACTGTATCCTGTAAAATGACACTTGCATTAATCAGACATTGTGGTCATGTCACGTGTGTTCTCCATTGTTGAAAAGATATTGTTGACATGAAATAACAAGAAGAGGACAGTAATAACTTGTGGAAATTCTGAGCTAACCTATTAGGTTCTCTAATTTCAAGTCATCCTTCTCTGAGCCTCATTTTCCATATGTGTAATAAAACGAAAGCATTGGGAGTGTAGTGTTTAAGGTCCCTTCTGGGCCTAACACTAGCAGTTTTTTAATACTCCAATAACAATAATAGAATAACAATAACAGAAAACCTTGCTTTACAGTGTTATTGTAGAAATATTTTCTTAGAAAATGTCTTTTTCATTTTCGTTTTTGATTTTATCAACTGTAAGTTAAATGTGATATTTAGCTATGTGATTTTTCTTAACTTTCTGGAGCTGGATTTAGATGCCATGCCTTAGGTTTTCCCAGGTCTAGATAGAAACCTAATTTCTTAGTGCTACTTTAGGTCATAGCAGAATGTTCTCCCTGGATGGGAAGGCATGACTCTATGTAAAAGTTGTATGTGAGATGTGCCTTCTTGGTGCTTATAAGTTATTTTATAATGTTTTTTGATTTTGATTTTTCTTGATGAGAAATGGAAAAGAACATGAGGATATTAAGAATAAACATTTTTTGCTACCTAGTCTTTATTTTAAAAGTTGTTTCCAAAACTTCTATTGCTTTTTCTGTTATATGAATGTTGTTAGTACCTATAAGATTTTGTCCACTTTGTTGATAATTTGGTAAACCTCAGGCATGTATCAAAATTAAAATTTTCTTTTTTCTTTCTTTCTTTTTAATAGAGCTGCTCTGGATAAGGCTACTGTGCTCCTGAGTATGTCTAAAGGTGGAAAACGTAAAGATAGTGTGTGGGGTTCTGGAGGTGGGCAGCAGTCTGTCAATCACCTTGTTAAAGAGGTACTTACTTTGGTGCTGTTTCCAAGTTACAGGCATTTCCATGGAAAAAAAGGGAAAAAAACAAAACAAAATTGGTGGCATTTTTGTGGGCAAAAATTCAGTTTAGTCATATAGCTGCAAGTCAAAAACTGAATAATCATTTCTTATGTTGGCTTTATATTCTTTTATTTTAAATTATACAATAATTATATAATCAGTGCTAAATTTCCCCCCTGGTTTTGTGACTTAAAAGGAAGAGTTTTAAGTTAAGAGGGCTTTCATGAATGACTGTAAGAAGGCTGTCTGTGAATTACTAAGGAATGTGGGAATTCTTTTTCTTATATTAACATTCTTATTTCAAATGCTGATGAGTAGGAGTATTTTGTAATTATTCAATACATGTTTTTACAATTTGAACCTGGGTAGTCTGAGATTATAAATTAAGAATTAAGAACACTAGGCTGGGCTTGGTGGTATACGCCTTTAATCTCAGCACTCAGGGGAGGCAGAGGCAGGTGGATCTCTGTGAGTTCAAGTCCAGCCTGGTGTACATTGTAAATTCCAAGCCAGCTGGGGCTACAGGAAGATCCTAAAAAAGAATTATGAACTCTAGAGTAGATCAGATTGGTAATTTTTGTAAGGACTTTTCCTATATTCATTAAGGAAAAAAAGTAATTGAGTTATTTCATTAAATGCAAGATTTTCTCCATGTGAATTTCCCTCTTGTTCTTTAATACATGGACTAAAGTAGTATCTTCATCTCTAGATCTTAAGATCAACAGTTAGATTTGTAGTTTATATGCTTTTTAAAAGTATACTCCTTTCATTTTTTGAATGTATGCATGTTCATATGTTTACACAAGTGTGTGTGTAGGCCAGAGGTCAACCTCAGGGGTCATTCCTCATGACCTGTCTACCTTGATTTTTGAGACTGATCTGTTGGAAGCTGGGGCTCACCTATTAGGCTAGGCTGGCTTGACAGTCAGCTCCAGTGATCTGCTTGCCTTTGCTTCTCCAGTGCTGAGAGCACAAGCATGCCATACAGCTTTTTTTTTTTAATCTTTTTTTGATTTTTATTTCATGTGTATGAGTGTTTTGCCTGCATGTAAGTGCACCTGTGTGTGCAATGCCTGAGGAGGCCAGAAGAGGGCATCAGATCCCCTGGAACTGGCATTACACATAGTTGCTAGCCACCATGTGGGTGCTGGGAACCAAACCTGGGTCCTCTGCAAGAGCAGCCAGTGCTCTTAGCTGCTAAGGCATCTCTCCAGCCCCCATGTCCAGTTTTTCACATAGGTTCTAGTGATTAAACCTAGGTCCTTAAGCTTGGATGGCAAGCATGTAACTGACTGAGATATCTACTCTCAATCTTTTATGCCTATCATTAAGTGTTGAACTCAAATGGTGGTTAGAACCTTGATCATTTTTGCTTTTATGTATGCTGGAATAGATGTATCAAGCATGATTGCAATGTTTTAAAAAACTGAAGAATTATAAGAAAAATTAAGACATAAAAATGGTCAGTATGCCAGGGAAATTTGGCAAGGAAGAACAGTAAAGGACATTCAGACTGCAACGGAAGAAATGAAACTAGTTCTATTTAGAGATGATGTGATCTATAGACTGGAACTCCAGATCAATTCACAAATTAACTCTAAAAAACCAAACCAAACTATTAACTAGTAATTTGCAAGTTTGCACAATACAAGATTAATATGCAAGATTCAGTTCTCCATACACTGGCAGTGAATAATAAGAAATGAGATTATTGCTGCATTTATAATGCATAAAAATAGAATATTAAGAAATTTAACACTGAAAAATGAAAAGCATTTGGAGATATCCCATGTTTATGGATTAAAATACTATTGTTAAGATGGTAATACTCTGTAAATTATTTTGAGAAATTGCCAAACTGTATTATGATGTCTGAATTATCTCAATAAAAATATGGAGAAGATAAGAATTGAAATAAAACCACCAATATATGAGTTTGAAATTGACATTATTTAGAAACCTTTTACATGGAGCAAGGGTTAAACAAAAAGACTTTAGCTGGGTGTGGTGGCACACATGGTATGCTGGTGGGAGGCAGAGGCAGGTGGATCCCTGAGTTTGAGGCCAGCCTGGTCTACAAAGTGAATTTCAGGCCACCTGGGGCTACAAGGAAGGGAGACCCTATCTCAAAAAGACCAAAAACAAAAACAAAAACAAAAAAACAAAAACAAAAACAAAAAACCCCAGACTTTTAAATATTTACATTTTTGTAATTTATCATTTGGAAAATGCATTTATTCTGATGGGGAATGTTTTACTTTCTTTTAAAAAGTTTTGTTTTTCAATTTTTTATTGTGTGTGCACGTGTGTTTATGTGTGCATGTGTGCCTGCTTGTCTGTATGTATATTGGATGTGTGGAGGTACCCCTGAGCCAGAAGAAGGCTGCAGATACCCATGAACTGGAGTTATAGGTGGCTGGGAGGCATGTGGGTGCTGGGAATTGAACCCTGGTCCTCTGAAAGAATAGCAAGTGCTTTTAACCACTGGGTCATCTCTCTAGCCCCACACTTCACTTTTTAAAGTGACAGAATAGATGTTAAACAAGTATAATTTAAATAACAGCTCTCTTGTAATTAGTAAATACTTATGCTATTACTTTCTCTTTCATTATTTTGTATATGTACGTGTGTGTATGTGTACGCGTACAGTGTGGTGCGTGTATGTGAATGTATGGTATTTGTGCCTGTGCACACACATGCATGCAAGGTATCTTCCTCTGTCACTCTTCTTCACCTATTGCCCTGGGACAGGGTCTCTCACTGAACCAGAAGCTCACTGTTTTGGTTTGGCTGGTTAGCTAGTGAGCTTTCAGTATCCACCTGTCTTTCCTGCAGTGCTGGGGTTAGAGGTAGGCATAGCCATGTCTGGCTTTCTTTTTATGTGGGTTCTGGGATTTGAACTCAGGTCCTTATGCTTATAGAGCAAGTGCTTTTACCCACTCAGCTATTTCCCCAGCCCAAATTATTTACTTTCCTAAAACAAAATAGGAATTATTAGGATATAGTCTGGTGATAAAATTTTACTTTACCTTTTATGAAAATATTAATAGAATTTAGAAGTAGAGGCTATTTAAATAAAATTATTTTATTCAACTAGCCAGTATTCATTTAGTGCCACTAGATACAAATGTGATTTTTTTCAGGCAGTTTAGTGGGAAGAATATTCTTAGTTGAAGCTCTTTTGCTGAAATTTTTTTCCTTCTTTTCCTCTGGAGTCAAAGCTTGAGTTGGGAGTCATGAATTACCTCTTTTGCTATGATTGGAACCTCAGTTACTGTTTTTAGATACTGATTTTCAAATCCTGAGTTGTAGAGAAATGAGAAACTGTGTGCAAATCTTTGCCTTGTAATGCCCCATATCATCTCTCACTGGCTCCCACTGCATTAAGATCATCTGGGTATTTTGTGCCACTTGAAAAATTCATGTGGTAACTTAAGTTAGTGCCCTCTAGTGGTATTTAGAAATCTCCTATTTTTAATTTTTAAGATTTATTTTTAATTATGTATATGTATCTGTATGTGCACATGAGTGCAGGTGTTCATGGAGGTCAGAGTTATCAGATCCCCTGGAGCTGGAGTTACAGGCAGTTGTGAGCCACCCAAGGGTGCTGAAAACCAAACTCAGGTCCTCTGTAAGAGCAGTACATGTTCTTTAACCACTGAGCCCTCTCTTCAGACCCCTCAGAATCCCCTATTTTTAATAGATACATTGAAGCATTATAGTCACAACCCAGGCCATCTACATTATAAACCTACGTGTAGATCTCAGTGATTACTTAGGGACATTGAAGTACCGCATTTGTTTTTTTAACTGTGAGCCATGCAAAGACTGGATGCTTATTTTTTAATTATGAAAACATTATGATACTACCATGCCAAGTGCCTGTGTTCTTGGTTGTGACTTGCTGTGTCATATTGGGATGAATGTAAGTAAATCATTTAGGCAGGTACAAATGTTTTTCAAAAATAGGAATTCTAACATAGTTCAACTTTTAAATCTAATAGATTGATATGCTGCTGAAAGAGTATTTACTCTCTGGTGATATATCTGAAGCTGAACACTGCCTTAAGGAACTGGAAGTACCTCATTTTCACCACGAGCTTGTATATGAAGTAAGATTACTTTCCGCACTGAATAGAATTTTGTTCTAAAGATTTTACCTATTTTTCTTTTATGAGTGTACCATGTGCATGCTTGGTGTCTGAGGAGGCCAGAAGAGGGTGTCAGATCCTCTGGAACAAGTTAAAGGATGGGTGTTAATTACCAAGTGGGTGCTGGGAACTGAACCCTGGTCCTCTGGAAGAGCAATGAATGCTCTTAACCACTGAGCCATCTCTTCAGTTCCCAAAGGGAGTTTTAAAGTATTCTTTTTGCACCACAGTGACTTAATACTTAATAATGCACATCCTTTTTTAAATCAAAAAGTTAAAATGATTTATAAATTTATATAATGATTACAAAATTGTATAATCATTACATGTTGGAGGAGGGATCTTATACATTTTTAGGAGCAGTTTCTTTTCTTGAAACAGGGTCTCCCTAGAGCCCCAGCTGGCCTGGAACTCACTATGTAGACCATGCTGGTCTTGAACTCACAGAGATCTGCCTGTCTCTGCCTCTCAAGTACTGGGACCATGCCCAGCTAAGAGCAGTTTCTTTTTAATGACTAAAGATTCATTCTCTATTTCTTTCAATTTTTAGGCTATTGTAATGGTTTTAGAGTCAACTGGAGAAAGTGCATTCAAGATGATCTTGAATTTATTAAAATCCCTGTGGAAGTCTTCTACCATTACAGTAGACCAAATGAAAAGGGTATGTATGACATCACTTTCAACAAGCTTATATCTCAACTATATGATTGAATAAATAATTGCTAATGAAAGTTTCTTTTAAAGTATACTTAGTGTTATGCCTATAGGTTATTATTTTTTAATTTTTTAACTCTAGGATACAAAGCTTGTAACTACTCTTGGAAAGTAGCACTTCAGTTTATTTTTGCCTCTTAAAGCATGATTGCTTAATATCTGAGATATAATTTGTTTGTATCTAGAGAAAAACATTTAAATTATGCTTCATTTTTTTCTGACTTAAAATTGTATGTGCTGTTTTGAAATGATGAGGTTATATGCCATATATATATATTTTTTTAAAAAAGTAAATGTAGATAGAAAAGTAGATAGGCAGGAATTTGTTGTGTCTGACTTTCAAAAAATTTTAAAGAAAGCTATGAGTTGGCGAAGTGTAGGTATGATTAGGATGTTGTGTATAAAACACAAAAATTCAGTAAAAATTATATAAAGGGGCTGGAGAGATGGCTCAGTGGTTAAGAACACTGGCTATTCTTGCAGAAGACCTGGGTTTGAATCCCAGCACCCACATGGCAGCTAACAACTGTCTGTAACTCCAGTTCCAGGGGACCCGACAGCCTCTTCTGTCCTCGGTGGGCATTGCAACATGGGTGCACTTACCTACATGCAGGCAAAACACATATATTTAATATTTCTATTATTTTTATGTGTATATATGTATGCGTATATAAATAAAGGAAAGCAAATGTACTTTCAAGGTTAAATCTGACTTGTTTCACCAAACAGTTGACTCCATATAGACTTACAATATAGCAGTAGATTGTTTTGTGCCACGCATTTGTATATAGGCTAACAATTCTATCTCTAATTTTGTTTTAGGGTTATGAGAGAATTTACAATGAAATTCCAGATATTAATCTGGATGTCCCACATTCATACTCTGTGCTTGAGAGATTTGTGGAGGAATGTTTTCAGGCTGGAATAATTTCCAAACAACTCCGAGAGCTTTGTCCTTCAAGGTACTGTTTAAATACTACTTTCTCATCATAACATACTGAATGAGATACTTGGGAGCTAAGATAATTTTCTGTCATTTTAGCTGTCAGAAAAGTAAAGTATCTTTCTTGAAGTGACTGAAGAGTGAGACCATCTACCTTGAGTTTTTGGAGAAAAGGTGTGAAGCTCATTTTATCTCCTTGTGAATGTAGACAGGACTACCATTTGGAGGAAGCAAATTCTGTGGCACAGATGTGTGCTGGATTCTGTTCAAAGTAGTTCACATATTGTTTCATAGTAGGTGCTCTCACAAGTAACATGAGAAAATGAAGGGTCATGGAGGTGTAATGTACTACTTCCAAAGTCACATAACGAGGACACTGTCTAGGCCAAGTTTGAATTCAGACTTTTTTAGACTTCAAAGATATAGACTCTTTCCTGTACTATGTGGCTTCCTCTCCTTCATAGAATGAAGAAATGGGACTTACTGTTAGAAACTGCATGTAGGGGTACTTTTCTTTGGTGGTAAGTTTATCTGTACTACTAGGATGTTGATAGAGCTTTTTCCCATTAAAATTAGTAATCTTACATAAGCTTTTAGTTGTAGCTAAACTTATGTTTATTTTCTATCCTTTTTTTTTAAATCTGAAAATGTAAGCTTTGAGTATTTTAAAGTGTCTTGTGAAGTCTCAGAAAAATAATGTTGGTAGAGTCTTTTGCTGTAAAAAGTTTAGAAGCCATTCAGAGAGATGGGGAAAGTGGTGGAAAATAAGTGTAATGGCTTTGGTAGAAATATCTGGAAATGTAGATCCTGGCTTTATGTACTGGTGTGTTAAAAAATATGCCTCAGTGAGACCTCAGCTTTAGCAAGGCAGCTTGCCCTGCGCTGCTTCACCCCCTCCCTTGGTCTCACTAGTCATAAGCCTTTGTGTTCAAGAACATGTAGCAAATTTTCCACATAGCTAAAGTAAGTATGAAAAGGGGTCATTACTTTCAACTGCTTCTTAGGATTTTTAAACTATTTTTTGAAAGTTTGATTATTTGTGTTGGTGCTTTACTCTAAAGAGTCATTTAAAGAGTTACATACATTTTCATTGCATAGCAAACAACTTTGACTTTTGTCTTCTGTACTAAGTACATGTGTGTGTGAGATCTTGCATATCTGTGCATGTTGGACTGGGGCCAGAGTAAGGGTTAATCCTACTGATTCAGGCTTCATCCAGCTGTTTACCTGGGCTATTGCATGTAGCTAGAGTTGTGGTTATATTATAAGTAAGGAAGGGTTTCTTGAGTTTGAAACAACAGTCAAGAATCCCAAAATGGAGAATAATTTAGAAGAAATTGGATTCTGATTGGTTTTCCACATTCAAGTTAAGAATTTTCTAAAGCTGAGAAGTTTCTATCATTAAGCATGGCCTTTCAAAATAGTGATAGGTTCTTTAGTTCTAGTTTTCATGATTGTCCTTCGTGTTTAAAGTGTTTCCTGTTTAGCTCATTGGTTTTGAAATAAGGTAGAAATAAATATTAAGCTCTAAATAAAATCTTACTTTATATTTTGAGTGTGATTAATAATTCCAGTTAGTAAAGTTATTTCAGTAATTAAGTTTTTTTTTTTTTTGTTTGTCTTGTCTTTTTTTGAGACAGGTCTTCATTGTAGCTCCAGCAGGCTTGGAAAGTAATTAAGTTTTTATTTAAGTTATTCATATTTGCTGTTCATTTGGTATTTTAGAAAGCTAAGATGAAAATTTTTTTTCCAAGGAAAACATGCTGGTTTTAAGCAAATAGCAAAACACTTTAAATCTTAAATGTATCAACAAAAAAGTAAGGTTTTACTTTTTATTGAATCACATTTTTATCTGCTTTCCTATTTTTCATTACAGGGGAAGAAAGCGTTTCGTAAGTGAAGGAGATGGAGGTCGTCTTAAACCAGAGAGCTACTGAATATAAGAACTCTTGCAGTCTTAGATGTTATAAAATATATATCTGAATTGTAAGAGTTGTTAGCACAGGTTTTTTGTTTTTCTTTTTTAAAGCATTTGTTTTGGGTACAAGACATTTCTGAAATTTTATAAAAAAACTTACATTTACGGGAATTTTTAAAGGAAGTATTTTCTTTTTTTCTTTGAGGGGAATTAAAAGAAGGACAGAAGAGTAACCACTTCTTAAGTGGAGTACCCTAGTAAGCTACCTTTCATAAGTGCCATGTTTATGACCTAATCATTCCAAGTTTTGCATTGATGTCTGACTGCCACTCTTTTCTTTCAAGGACAGTGTTTTTTGTAGTAAAATCACTGGTTTATACAAAGCTTTATTTAGGGGGTAAAGTTAAGCTGCTAAAACCCCATGTTGGCTGCTGTTGTTGAAATACTGTGCTTTGGGAGTTCAAACAAACAACAAACAAACCAAGATTTTTGTCTTAAAGAATTAAAAAAAAATAAGTCATGAGAATTTTTCATCTTTCCAGAGAACATATTGATTGGTCTTAAAGACTACAGTTAAGTAAATAGTGGCTGGAACATCTATTTTTCTACAAAACTGGAAAAACGAACCCGGTTCTACAAGAGTGTACAACAAAATAAAACGTGAAGCAGTATTGATTCTTTAGTGGGAGTACAATTATTTTGTCTTTTAAAAAGCTTCCGTTAGGTTTCCTGTCTAACATGCACTAAGCCCAGTGTTCAGTCAATCCCAGCATTGCAAAATAAACCCAAAACAACAAAGAGGTTTTTTTTTTTTGAGAGGGTCTTTCTTGCTATGTAGCCCTGGCTAGTACTTTGTAGGTAGTCCAGTTTGCTTTTGAACTCAGCCTGAGTACTGGGATCACAGGCATGCATTACCATGTCTGGCTTTCAGAACAAAACTTTTAAGTACTGCCCAGCAAATACTAAATCATATTAGGAAGTAAATTTGAGATTAGTGAATATAAGCTGTTACAAACTTTTTAACTTGCAAACATTAAATCAAATGTATAATGGTTAGGGCAGGAGAGAAGTTTAATGAGCTTGCTGTTCTTTCAGAAGACTGAGTTTGGTTCCCAGCACCCACCTTGGGCAGCTCATAACTGCCTGTAACTCCAGCTCCAGGGATGCATTGTCCTTTTCTGGTTTCTGAGGGCAACTACAAATAGGTGGCATACAGTCACCATACAGACACACAGACACATAAAAAATATGAATCTTAAAAAAATATAACAGTTAAAAAAATTATGCACATACACTTCAATCTCATTTATGGATATGAGCTAGAGTTTCTCTAATATGTATAACAGCTTTCATCATCCTTAAATTCTGTTATCAAATGTTTTAAAATTAATTCTCCAAAGACTGAAAGCTTTACATTTACCCAGATGTGTATGAAAATACTTGCAAACAATAACAATTACCTTATGAATGATCACATTTCTAACCTCTTATAAAGCTTAGTAACACAGCAAGGCTTCTACTTGCTGCAGTGAACCAAGAATTATACCCATAATTTTCAAAGGTGACTCTAAGGAATATAACTGTTAAAGGTTTAGCTACAGTGTTTAGAATTAAAGGCCTATATTTAATGTTTGTATTTACTTCACAGGCTCTTTCAAGCTTATATTACTTAGGTTTATATAAGGTAACCATAATAAGCATTTTCAGGTTTTTGTATTTGACACTTGGATGACAAAGGTAGTTATATAATTCTCTCTAGTTCTTTAAAATTAGTTAAAAGCTTAGTTGACTACAGAATGAGGTGAAGGTTTCTTAAAAGACACATTTAAGCTGGGCATGGTAGCGCACGCCTGTAGTCCCAGCACTTGGGAGGCAGAGGCAGGCGGATCTCTGTGAGTTCAAGGCCAGCCTGGTCTACAAAGTGAGTTCCAGGACAGCTGGGGCTACAGGGAGACCCTGCTTCAAAAAGACAACAATAACAAAAAAGGACAAATTTAAGAAACCAGTTTTGTTCCTACTGGTGTCTCTACTGGTCAGGCTGCATAGCATTAGACATGACATGGTACACAACTGGTTTAAAAATTTGTTTTGGGTATGTACAAGTTCAGCATACTTTAAGCAAAATTAGTGTGTATTTCCAAATTTAGGTTTCTAATAAACATGAAGAGATCCTTTGTCCATAAAGGATGAATTTAATTTCTTACATCCATAACAATAGGAACAGTGAACAACAATTTATGAAAACATTTTCAAGATTCCATCAAACTTGGTTCAGAGTTATGGTTTTAATGTAAACCAATGTTTAGCTTCCCAAGTTTTGTCAATCTCAATGTTGTTAAATCATATGAATATCCAGTTTTATTAGGTACTACTTTCAGCCTACAAAACAGTTTTTAGTTTATTAAATAGTAGGTAAGGCAGGGTATTCCCTAGAATGCTCTTGATCAGTGGGTCATTTGCCGTTCTTCTTTTTCTGCCATTTCTTGTTGGCGAATTGTATTTTGTGCTACTTGCTGCATTTTCTCCAGTTTTTCCAGAGTGAAGGATTTTAAGGGCAAAAGCTTGGGTTTACACAGCACCATCGTGGTTACATCTTCTACAGACAACTGCCCTAAGTTTAGTAAGAAATAAAAATTAATTTGGGGAAGAGAGCCCAGGGATTTGATTTGCAGCTAGCATGTAGGTCTAAAAACTTAAAACATTTTACTCCTAGCCTGCAAAAGCAGAAACCCCAATAAGCAACATTTTGTAACACTGAAGTATCAAGGAAGACAAGATTTGAACTACCTATGCTAGACTCTAAGCTACCTTAAGACACAACCTTTTGTGTCAAACATTTAATTGAAAGAATCTCTACTTACATAATTCAGAAAAATATAACAAGGTGTGATACTTAACATAAATACTCCAAATCACTAAATATTTAACTTAAATGGTGAAAAATATTTAACTTTTCTTACTATAGTTATTTAAGTTACTTTCCCCATACTTTCAGATCTTCCTGTGAATTCCATTTCAATGAAAATTTTACACTGTACTCAGGTATAGCAGGATTTCTAGTTATAAAAAACAATGCTTCATTTGTTACCCTTTTATGGTGAAAGAAGATAATTTCTTTTTTACCACCTAGAACAGTGGACAGTAAATGAGGCATACAGACCATAGCAGTTGCAGATGTTAGCTAGCCTGCTGTTCTAAGTGTCTGCTGTTCTGCCTATCACTTTGTAGGTCTCTAATACTCTGTGAACCAAATAACTGTGGTATAAATACCTTGTTTTGGAAGAACTTCCCGGATCATCGACTTCACTTCTGCCATTGTAAACTGCTGGATACAGTGCTTTTTTCTCCTTCAATAAGAAATCTATTAAAATTCCCAAAGAATATTACATGAGACAGCAAGTAAAACCACAATTCCTATAGAAAGTGAAACACCCTATCTGCATAATTTTCCCATCAGTTTTCTATGGTTCTCTTCATTGAAACAAAGTTGAGGTATTTTATGTAAGCATCCAGATCTTGCCAGTTTTTATTCAATGGTGGCAAGCAGAATGCTGAGCATTTAAAAAATTTTCCCATCCTAGGGAAAATTGGTAGACATTCAGTGTACCTTAGAAGAAATGATCATGCATATCAGAGGAGAAAAGGCATTTATAGAGAAACCATTTTGGTTCACTGATAGTTTCTCTCCTGAATAGCAAGACATGAAAAAACATGACTACCAATTGAAAAAAGGGGTGAGACAGGAAAAGGAGGAGGTAGGCAAACAGTTCCTAACATTTTTTTTTTCAGTTGCTAACAGCTGATTTTTACTTTTAATTCCTTTGTCATAACAAAGACTATCCTAAGGATTGGTTACTGTCTGCATGGTTTCAGTATGTAAGGAAGCAGCAACACAATGGGTAAACAGGCTTCTAAACAGAAATAAAGTATGCTTCTTTTACTGAGATACTGTATGCTTAAGTACCAGCATATACTTTTGTTACGGATTTCCAAGCACATGTGCTACCTGTAGCCAATAACATTTGATCCACGTGTTACATCCCAGATTGCTACTGTGCTATATGCTTAACTTGTTCTGGATCAAGTTGTAGAATGACCCCTTTGCAAACACAGATGCTTTTCCAGACAGTCCTGCCCATTTAGTGATGTTTCACCACACTGATGCAGCCTTACCATACATCTTTCATAACATTACCACAAAAGAAAGATTATTTTATAAAGTGGTGATGCTGGCTTGGTGTCTGCCTTTTCCACCCACTGCAAACTAATAACTAAGTGAAGCTGCTTCTGGTCTTTGTTATTCTTGTTCTATTTCTTTGACAGTCTTAATAAAAGCTTCCTAACTTTGTATTTTTCAAGCTGCTTCTCATTCAAATTACTCTGGAATATCTAGATTCCTGAGAAACCTCTATCTGCTTTGCAGAACTCTTCTCATCAGACTTTATCCCTGTACAGCTTTATCAGGGAGAAAGGAAAGGGCCAGAAATAAAGCAGCTCATCACTAATTGAAATGTGAGGTAAATATATGCAGTTTCCTTAGATTGCACATCTCCTATGACTTTCTTGTTACTTAGGCCTGATACTTAATAATCATGGCCTTCTAGATTAGGTTAAAAATATTGCATAACTGAATATAGCTACCAAAACCCCTAGCCTCTCCATTAAAGATATCATTATGAAAATATGCCTGCAGCTGGTACAAATATAACCTATACCACTGCAAAGGATAGGCATTATCAAGCTTGATAAAGGTGAAGGAAAACGGTAGGTTAGAAAAACATTTAAATTTTCATTGTTTTATAAAATGAGCAACTCCAGCTACATTTAATTAAATAACTATCCTTTGTTTTCTTCTAGTCAATAACTTACACATTCATAATATGGCCTGAGGAAGACAATGAAACCTGGTATTCCGTCTGTTTGACTTAAGCCTTTGTTAATGGAAAGGGTATGGGGCCAAAGGACTGGTAAAGTGTGGGCTGGGTCTTATGTGGGTAAGATCAGTGCCCTCACTTGCCTAGGTAGTTTCTGCTTTAGTAGGGCCAACTTTTGACCCTAGGCCCCATAGGCCTTAGCAAGAGAGAAACAGGAAGGGAAGGGCTAAAATAAGCAAGGTGGAGGTTGGATGGTCAACACTGGTCAGGGTCAGGATACACTTAATAGTCTTGATAATTAGCTGCCCTGAAAGTCTAGAAAAGGAAAGAGCATTCGTTTTTTTTTTTTTTCCCTCCTAGGAAGCCTGCTATTAGTAAAACACAAATGTTTTGTAGGGTATAATATTTTTAAGGAGTTGTAGCTGCTTCTATATATACTTTCTCAGTGCAGGTGAGATGTGTACAAAACCAGAGACTGATGAGTCAAAAATGAAATATAAGTTATTATTGACATACAAGTTTCAGTAAATGAGGGCCTACCATGTGCTGGACTGTTTTTTTCAGTGAGGAAACAAAAAATCTTTGCCTTTTGGAGCTTACAGCCAGGAATAAGATGAGAGAAACAACAGAATACTATATGGTGGTGTGGTTAAGTGCTACAGAAAAAATAAGGAAATTTAGTTATGGTGGGAGAGGACAGTCTAATTGCAGTAGGAACACTGGTGTTCTGGGTGACACTGAAGCAAAGACTATGGGTGCAACTATATCTGTTCTGTCTTGAAATTGTAAAAAAGTCAAAAGCCTGCTAATTTCTACTATGAAAGAAGGTTGGGAAACGGGCACCCTATTTCATCTTTTTTAGAGGGATATTTTGCTGTATCTACCAAGACTAAACATACACAATTTCTCTGACCCAAACATTCTGCTTCTAGTAGTCTCCCTACAGAAACTATAGTATGAGTGCTTAACGAACAGCAATGCCCATGAAAACTGCATCAAATAGCAAAATGTTCAGCAACAGATAAGCCTGTGTGTTCACCACCTGGCCAAAAGTTAATTAGGGATTATCCACAGACTGGAATACTATGTCAAAATAAAAAATGATCCAGATAGTGATGGTATATTAAGAAAAATTAAAATGCAGAAGTAAATTCTTATCCTACTGGAAGCTTTTAATACTCAACAAAATGCGGTGTCACTCCATCAGTTTTTAAAGCCCTTGGATAGGGTAATGAGAGAACACTGCCGCTTGCTTGTCTTCTTTCTTTGTGATCTCTCCCAGAGATAACGGTGCTGAGGATGGTGTACTTCAGAGTCAGGAGGAGGTTGCAAACCTGCTGTAGTGACTTGCACTGGCTATATAAAATTAAAGCAAAACAGCTTGAAGGAAAAACCAAACTTTTGTCATGAAATATTTTATTGTTTTGGGAGTGTGAATTCAAACACATGTCTAAAAAAGATGCTTTTTAAAACCAATTGTGTGCATTTGGATGAGTTGGAGATCTCTGGGGTAGGACTGGACTAGACACGAAACTGTCTGAACTTTGAGAATATTGCTGAGGGTCTTCAAACTTTACCTACAGCGTCCAAAGACATTTTGGAAAAACTATCACATTTCTAAATTGACATTAATTTTTCATTTTTCAAAAAATTTATTTCATGTGTATGAATGTATTGTTATTGCTTGCTTGTATGTAAATGCACCCGTGTCATACAATGCCTGTAGAGGTCAGAAGAAGGCATTGGATCCCCTGGAACTAGAGTTAGGACAGTTGTTAGCTGCTATGTGGGTGCTGGGACTCGAACCTGGGTCCTCTGCAAGAGCAGCCAGTGCTCTTAACTGCTGAGCCATCTCTCCAGCCCCAAATTTTTCACTTTTAATAGTTATAAAGGATATGATTTTCAGCATACTTAAAATAACAGGAATTTAAATAATATATTCAATGTAAACACAGCAATTTGATAACTACCATTGATTTTTCAATAAACAATAAAAAGCTCTGTTAGAAATTTTATATTATCCGTTTTCTCCCTAGACCTCTTTTATTTCCATCACAATTTTAATCTGATGTAATACTTTCATACTTGATATGTTACTGATTATATATTGTCATACTCTTTGGCTACAAAAATGTTTATAACTTCAAAATATTATGGATTCAGTTACTACAATTAATGCAAAATTGATACAGTAACTATTAAACATAGAAGTTACTATGTATCTGTTAGTAAGGAGACTTTTGTTTTTATATAAGTTCATATATACATGGCTGAAAACTTAGATGGCTATAATCTGATTTTTCATTTATATAGTTGTAAGTACTGAGATGGGAATGGGAAAATATTTCTTCAGTTTTTGAACTTAAGTTATATATCAGAAAGTCATAGTGATTGGTCATCAAATTTAAGGAAGAGATGAGATGGCTCAGTGGGAAGGGACCCCTGCTGCATAGCCTGAAGACCTGAGTTCTGTCCTTGGGACCCACATGTTGGAAAGAGCCTATTCCTGCAGATTGGTCTCTGGCCTCCATACAGTACAGTGGCATGCATTCACACATACTCTAAATATAATTTTTTTTTTTTTTTTGGTGTTCTTGAGACAGGGTCTCCCTGTAGCCCCAGCTGGCCTGGAACTCACTATGTAGACCAGGCTGGCCTCGAACTCAGAGATCCACCTGCCTCTGCCTCTCAAGTGCTGGAATTAAAGGCGTGCGCCACCACACCTGGCTCTAAATATAATTTAAAAGCAATTTAAATGGTCAACAGATTAGTAAGTTAGATCCCCCCCCCCCCCTTTGGGCACACTAGGCAAGTACTCTACCACTGAACTGCATCACTAGTCACTAGGTTTTCCTTCAGTAGTTTTGGAAGCTGAGCACTGAACAGCTCTTCCTGTAAAAGGATCACCTTCCCTAAGAATCAGAGAAGTCCTTAGTCTTTAGTGTGAAATTTACAATATTTACTTGTCTCTGGCACGTAAGAGATTTCTGCCCCTTGAAGCATTTCCTCATAGAAAATTTTACATGGGCTAGAAAGATGCCTTTTCTTGGTTAAGTCTTTGGTGATTGTGAAAGGGAGTGGTGGGAAATAAGTGAGACTACTAAGCATGTTTATCCACAGGCCCATTTCTTTCAGGGAACTGAGTATCAGAGACAGTATGGAGGTTAATGGTCTGCAAGTTCATTACTCTTACCCTGCTTGCCTCTATTTTGCTCTGATTGTCTTCTGACATCTTGAAGGACGCGTACCCTAGCATAAATATTTCTGACTATACGGTAAATCACATTGTTGTTCTTAGAGATGTTAATATATTTTCTGAGACAACTGCATAGTTATTAAATTTGAGATGCCCTGGGAAGGAAGAAAAAAAGATTTTCTTTTTAACAGCAAGACTTTCTAGAAACTTCAGTATACTAAAATATGTGATGAATCTATACACTTAGTAAATCTAGAAGCAATGTTTTTTCAACATGGCATGTGTCATAAGATGCAATAGGCGAAGCACATATTAAAGAAAATACCAGTATTTAAAAATAATTTTAAAATATTTTTTTCTGAATGTAATTTATAAACATCAACCCAAAGATGGTTTACCTTCTTGCCTTAGTAAAATAAGTTTAGAAAGTAAGGTAGTAAGAAAAGTTTAGACGATCTTGGACAAAACTGTCTTTTAATGAACTACTTAAATATAAAGAGAAAATAGTACAGAGTATTTGAGGATTTGGCATAAACAATAGCTATTGTTGTCTACAAAAAAGAAATTTGATGTAGGGGCTTCTGTGACACAAGCATAAGTTTTCTATCAAAATATTGATGGTTATTTATGGGCTTTATTTCTTTAAACTTTTAAAAACATTTTATTTTATGAGCGTTTTGCCTGCACCTAAGTAGGTGTACTATGTACATGCAATGCCCATGGAGGCCAGAAGAGCGTGTCAGATCCCTTGGAACTGGAGCTAAGGATAGCTGTTAGCCACCATGTGGGTGCTGGGAGCCAAAGCTGGGTTCTCTGCAAGAGCAGCCAGTGCTCTTAATTGCTGAGCCTTCTCTCTCTCTCTCACTTTTTTTTTTTTTGTGTGTGTGTGTGTGCATGCCTGCAGGTATGGTCACCCATGTATGTGCATATGTAGGCCAGAGGTCAAAAGTTAGGTGTCTTCCTCTGTTCTTCTACATGGTATTTTTGAGACAGGGTCTCTTACTGAACCTGGAGCTTACTATTTGTGCTAGACTATTTCTGTGGCCAGCAAATCCCCAGGATGTTTCTGTTTCAGTGCTGGGTTACAGATCTAGCCTGCCCCCCCCCCCCAGCTTTTATGTCGGTGCTGAGGACCCAAACTAGTATAGCAAGCAAAAGAAGAGTGGAGGGCAAGGATAAGTGTTCAATCTTGGATGTGTGAATGAATACAAGATTGTGAGACTTGTGAGAAATGTTTGCCAGGTGATGGTTCAGTGGGCAAAAGTTCTTGCCTGATGATGAGTTCAAACTTTGGAACCCATAGTGGAAAGGGAGAACTGACTCCTGAGGATTGTTTTTTGGCCTCCACGTACCAGCAATGGTATTTATATGTGCCTGTTCTCAAACACACGATGCACACACAATAAAAAAATTAAAAAAATTAAAAACAAATGCCTGATGGGTAAAGGGAAGTATCAGTAGGGAACATGCTATGAGAGAGTGGTAGTAGTTCATTCAGGCCAGGAAAAACAATGACACACATATTCTCCATTAATTAAGCAACAATTTCATAAAAACAAGCAATTAACAACAGGACTTTTGAAACTGAAGATAGACATGATTTTGTTGTCAAAAGGTTTGCTGTGATGTCACCTCTTGGACTTGAATGTTGTAGACTTATAGAAGAGAAAGCCTCTAAATAGAACCTTTCATTGAAATCTTACCTACTGTCATTGAAATCCTATTACCTACTTGGAAAAACAAAACAAAAAAAAAAAAACAGCCTAGGCTCCAGGTCCTTTGGTCAAGAAAATACGGCTCTCTACAGTGGTCACAAATTTTAAGTTTACATATTAAAACTGTACCTTATAGTCTATATTCTATATTCTACAGATAGCAAGAAGCAAACTGGATGCCTCTAAGGTATCTAATGTGATTTGCTTTTTAAAAACACATATTCTAGACAAACCCAGAAGACATAGCAGAGGCATGGAGAAAAGTAAGGAAGCTACAATTTAAGGTGATGAATCTGGGAACTAAAGCAGTGAGAATAGACATTAAGAAGTGTCAGAATGCATATGCTTTTAATCCCAGCACTTGGGAGGCAGAGGCAGCACTTGGGAGGCAGAGGATCTCTGCAAATTCGAGGCCAGCTGGGTCTACATAGTGTGTGCCAGGCCAGCTGGGGCTAGTGACCCTATCTCAAAAGACAAAGACAAACAACTAAAGACTAGAGTGACATAGGATGCTCTTTTAGATGACAAGGAAGCTATTCTTTCATTGCATAAAACCAATAAATATAACATTAAAGAAATATAGGATCATAAGTATCCATCCAAACATTTTTTTTGCTCTCAACAATAAATGTTTATAAAGTACCTGCCACAACTAAGCAAGGGAAACAAAGTGAGTAAGAACAAGTTCTTCTTGTAATGCTAAGTACTCTTGCCTTTACTTCTCCTTCACATCTCCCTAGGCACCATTCAAGGAGTTTCTTTTCTCCCTACAGTTAAAAGTTATACAATTTGGGAGTCTTTTAGATAGACCCACTGAAGGGGTACCGCAATTGCCTCACCCTGCATCCCTGTTCAGCACGGACGAAGCTAGAGCGGTCTGCATCCCAATTCTCTATCGGCAATTTAGGTAACCTCTTCAGGGGATGGTGTGCTAAGAATGGGAAGTAGGAATTGGCTAGGCAGTTAGGGTAAAAAGACTCCAAAGAAAAGTGGCCAGTTTCTTGGCTAAAAATCAAAATGTCCTTGGGCCTCTTAGCAACATACCGTGTTCCAAAGGCCAAAACTGTCAAAAGTATTTGGGAGCTCTTAACTAATCCCTAACAGATTTTAAGGTTACCTCTTCAGAGGGGGTAATGTTAGAGTAGCAAAAAGCCCCTAAAAGAGTACATGAAGCTGTTCAGGAAAAAGTAATGGGGAGATATGGGAGAAGTTGGAGGGGAGGGAGTTGGTGTGGATTTGATCAAAACACCTTATATGCATGTATGAAATTCTCAAATTTTTTTAAAAGTGAAAAAAAAAGATTCTTGGGGTACTTGGGAGAGGTTAGGTAGGAGAGAGAAATAAAGAACCATAAGTAAACATAATGTGCTTTGATTAAAAAGAAAAAGTAATGGGGAGATATGGGAGAAGTTGGAGGGGAGGGAGTCGGTGTGGATTTGATCAAAACACCTTATATGCATGTATGAAATTCTCAAATTTTTTTAAAAGTGAAAAAAAAAGATTCTTGGGGTACTTGGGAGAGGTTAGGTAGGAGAGAGAAATAAAGAACCATAAGTAAACATAATGTGCTTTGATTAAAAGTATGCCTCTTGCACTTTTTTTTTTCCCCTTTTTTGAGACAGGGTCTCCTTGTAGCCCTAGCTGGCCTGGAACTCACTATGTAGACCACACTGGCCTTGAACTCACAGAGATCTGCCTGCCTCTGCCTCCACACTCAGCTGCCTCTTGCCCTTTAATAAAAAGAACAGATGGTGCCTGACAAACTATGAAACATTAGAGCTACTGTGAAAGAGAGTGTTTGACTAGGTACAGAAGATACATAGCAAGTTGAGGGCATTTTCCATAATGAACAAGGGCATTAAAGGAAGAAGCATTAAAAAAAAGTGCTCTATCTAGATGAAAGGCTAAAGTATATATACAAAGTATCTTATATACAGCAGGGAGCTAGCTGGGTGGCTCTAAGCAGGTGTGTGACATGATTTAGTTTTTGGAAACATTCTAGACAAAATACAGGAAAAACCAGGAGAGAGCAGAAGGGAGGAGATAAGTAAGGAAGCTACAATTGTTTAAGATGGTATGTTTAAATAGGAGAGATGAGGTATCCAAGGATATGAGAAATGGAAGTTCAAATCTCCTCCACCATTCTATCCACCATCCCCTTTGGCTGACACAGGAATTCTTGGAGCTGACTGAGATGAGCTAACATGATTGAGTGGATGATGCAGGTATTCAAGTTGGGAAGGAAACCATCATTAAAGTTTAAGCTCATCAAGCATGTAAATCCAATTGGAACATAAAAATGATGGAGGTATAGAGTCATTGGCACAGCAATATAACCTACAGAGGTAGACTGAATTACTCAAGAAGGATCTGGAAAGATGGTTGACGATGGTGTTAAATGCTAAAAAGAGGTATGAATATAGATAACAGTTAAGAGAATTTTTTTTTTTTTGGTCTTTTTGAGACAGGGTCTCCCTGTAGCCCCAGCTGTCCTGGAACTCACTATGTAGACCAGCCTGGCCTTGAACTCACAGAGATCCGCCTGCCTCTGCCTCCCGAGTGCTGGGATTAAAGGCATGCACATCTTTTTTTAAAAGCATATAGCTTTGTTTATATGTGTGTGCACATGTCTGTGTGTAGGTGTGCACACACCATGATGTGTGTGTGTAGAAATCAGAAGACAACTTTGTGGCATTTGATTTTCTTTCATGATTCCCATGTGAGTTCTGGGCTCAAACTTGGGTCATCAGGCTTAGTGACAAGTGCCTTTACTTGCTGAGCCATCTCACTGGTCCAAGAGAAACATCTTAAGTCGAATAAATCACTTGAAAATTACTTAATTTTATAAGCCCTAATCTTGTCTGAAAACCAAAATCTATGATACTGTATTAAAGATATAATTTAAGCTGGGTATGGTAGTGCTTGCCTGTAATTCCAGCACAGAATTGGAAGGATCAGGAATTCAGGGCTATCTTTGGCTACTTAGCAAGTTCGAGGTCAGCCTGGGCTATATGAGACCCTATGTCAAAAAACAATGAAATTATACAATTCATATAAAGCCTTACATCAGTACCTAGCACACAAGAACTCAATGTTAGCGATTCTTACTGTATTATACCACTATATAATGTCAAAAAATATTCTCAGAAAAGTAAGTCTAATAACACATGTTACAGTTACAGAGGCTCATTTAATGAAGAAAACAACAGTGAGCAGGAACATTTTAGAATTATTCACCCATTCTTCCATCGAGTATCAACCAAGGCAGACCCTACTTAACTTCCCAGATCTGTTCTGTTCACAGTGGTATGGCTGCAGACTCACATACGCTCTCTCTACAGCTGTACTCTCTTAGTAATGATCTTAAATACAGATTAGGTTAAATGCTTAGAAACCCATCTTAGTTTTATAAAGTCAATGCTTTAGTGTAAAGCATTTTA